ACCAGGGTCCCAAGAAGCCTGCGAATTTCCCTCAGGAGTGCCACCCAGGCCACCAGCCCCTCTACCCACAGCCAATCACGAAGCAGGAGACCTGAGAGCCCCCCCCCCCCAGACGTGAGCTCGCAGACGTATGTCCCCGGAGTCCCAACGCAACCAATCAGGGCGCAGGACACAGGTTACGTGACCCTACGCAAAGCGGGGCTGCGCGGAGGAGGCCTGCCAGCGTGGGAATCAGCTTTCCTGGGAACAGAGCCAGGAGCCAACAATTACTGCGGCTGTTTTCACACCCTTTCCTTACCAGCATTTAGGAAACGGGAGTTCCGGTCGTTTTGTCCCTTGAGGAATGTCACCAGCCCATAAGAAAAAATGTAGAATTCAGAAGCCGCTGTGTCTTTAAGCAATAGCCATTTAGAATTCCCAAAATAATTCCATAGGAAAGAACTAATTTATAAAAGAAATGTAGTCAAAACAAAACCCCCCACAAACCTCTTTGGAACATATCTAGTCTCCCTGCTACCCCCCTCCCACCCGCCCCCAGTAGTCAGCGACTGTCTGATTCGTCTTTAAAAGCCTCTCTCCTGCTGCTTTCACCTGAACACTTGTTTTTTCCGACAAACTGTCCAGTTCCATTCTAATTATTACCTGTGATGCTCACCTTATAAACTAATTTCTCCTTAAAGCCAGTCTCAGTGTCCATCCCATTTATTCTCACATTTATCTATCAATCAACAAATATTTATGGTATGCCTATTAAGTGCCAAGCATGTGAAACCGCAATGAGAAGACACCGGTGGACAAGACAAAGGGGGTTTTAAAAGTACATTCCCTGTCCTGATGGAGTTTACATGTAGGACAGTGGAGGACAAAGACATTAACAATCGATAACATGATTAATCCCAAGTACAGTTAAATATTTCCAAAGACAGGGTGCCCCCACCCTGCCTAGTTGTCCTATGCTCCTGTGTAGAGCTGGAGTCAGGAAAGCTGTGATTTTCCCAGGCTGGAGGTCTGTGCACACTGTGCACAGTTCTAACAGCCTGAACTCACACCACTGTAATTCTTCCAGACTGCCCTCTCGCCTCGTGAACTCCTTGTGGATACTTAAGAATTTATTTTCCTATGAACAATATTTGGCACATGATAGGAACTCAGAAAATGCTAATTTGAGTCTACCCTTAATATTCACTTTGTGCTCAACAGGCTTTTTGAGAGGGACCAACATCTGCACCTTAAATTACACAGACTAGCAACAAGAATCCTAGCTCCTTCTCTCAGGATCATCTTTGGTCTCCAGGACATTCTAGACTTAAATGAGTAGCTAATGCATATGATGAGGTCAGGGAGTGACTGTCCAGTAACCTTTCTTCCCCTGAGTTACCCTTAAATAAAAATTCTATTACTCATGGCTTTATTGAACACTTTTTCCTGCGATATAAGGATTTGGGGTCCGGACCAAACAAAATGTTTCACTGCATTTAGGAAAAGGAATTGGAGTAGGTTACAGAGAAGAGAAGGAAGTCAAGGAATGTAGTAAACTCAAGCGCCTTACAACTGCATGCTGCAGTCACTGCTCAGGAGGGAGGGAGCAGATATGTACACTAGGGAGCTGGCAGCTTAGCTTGTACCAGAGTTCCACAGACTTGTGTAAGAAATGGTAATACCTATTACCCTGTATATTGTAATCAAAACTTGAAACTGACCAAGTCAGCTCTGTCAACTGTAACAATAACTAAATGCTACCTGAAGTTTTTTCCATTCCAAATATTTAGTGAATTTCTAGGACAATACAACCAGGGGGGGGGAAAAAACAACAACAACACTTGGATGGAGAGACGGAGGAAAGAAGCCAGTATAATGCATATTACACACATACAAAAATTACAAACATGTTTGAAATTGTGGGGAGATCCTACAGTTTCTAGTACTTAAGAGATGCATTAGAAATAATACTGTTACTGGTCTTTTATATCCCAAGTTACTAATTTATTTCAAGTGAATGTAAAAACAAAGACTTTATGTAGGTTCTTTCAAAAGCTTGGTTTCCTCAACTCATTTTTTCCAAGATGCTAGAACAGAACACGTTTGGTAATAAGATTTCAAGATATAATTTCTTGAATGAATAAAAGGCCTTAAATCCCTCAGCCACAAGCAGGATTTTCAGAACACTAGCTCCTCTAGTTACGGGAAACCACTGCATTCAAACATCTACTCAACTGGAACACACCGACTGCTACCTGTCTTTCCCTTTCAGTGATTCTTTTTATTTACAATTCAAACCAAACTGAAAAAGCTTTGCAAAAAACCCCCTAAACACCAAACAGCCCTATGTTTAAAACAAAATATCAGTGCCTATGCTGAAACAATGTTCTTTTACTAAAATATTTATTCTCATTAAAACGGAATCTTTTATTCCCCTGGATGGTGATGGTAAATCCTAGGTCTATGAATTGCTCGGTGCTGTACGGTACAATCCGGTCTAAAGAGTAGCTTGTTATATACAAGTATCATGAAAAACAGCAAAAATATCACTCCTTATTAACAGTGGTGAAAGAAGATAAGGCATACTTTTTTCTTTTCTCAGTAATGGACCTTATCAATTAGTATTAATCCACTATCTAGGATACTTTTTAAAATGCTCATCATATAAAAATGTTACTGTTTCTGGATTTTGGATTCAAATGACTCTTACTTTACTTTTTGATACAATTATCTCACTGAACATCTATCACAACTGAAGACTGGGAAAATAAAAAAATAAAAGATTGGAATTCCAAAAGACAAAAACTTGCCTACAAGAGACAGGAATGGGATAATGATAGTAATGAAAATAATGATGGCTACCCAGAGCTAGAGCATACAGCTAAGCAGACTGTGCCCTACACAATCCAGGGAGCTACACAGCACGGCAGCCCTGCAGCTAACACTTAAGTGAGTTCCCTACCGCGTGCCAGGCACTGTCACGAGCATTTCATATGTAGTATGACGGAGATACTACTCTCCCCTCCATTTCAAAGACAAAAAAGAAGGCACAGAAGGTTAATAACTTGCTCAAGATCTCAAAGCTAATGAGTTGCAGATCCTGGCCTTTGACTCCAGAGCCCACATTATTAATTGTAGTGACTAACTCATAGTTACAAGCCCCATTACCTGAAAAAAATCTCTTTGGTTTTAAATCCTTCTTGCAGATACCTATTTTTGAAAGTACAAAGTATTTGGAAGATAGTAATCTTATCTGGAATAATTTTGAAAAATACTATTTTACTACATATTGGAAGTTGTTCCTTCATTCAGAATGGCTACATGCGGTTTATAGACTCTCTAATTTGTAATCACATCTCATATAACAATGCTCTCCCACTTAACTAAAACAAAAACTTAAAGAAGAAAAAAACAACCACCACCAAGTACACAAGATTCCATATATGCATATACTTTAATAACAAAGTCACTTAGCTGTAAATGAACAAAGGGAGACAAGGAGAACTTAACACATGATACTTCCACAGATTTGCGTCAAAACAGGCATACATGAAGCTTTAAAACATATTGTCTGTGTTAACAGAGGCTGTAACTACCAATTGTGATGGCGCATATTTTCTAAAACATTATTATCAAAGAGTGTAAAGTTAGATCAAACAATGATGTCAAGAAAATTTTGTCCTAAAATTTTAACAAAGTCTTTTAAGAAAGTCTAAAAACCTCCTATCTTCCCACATTGACACTCAAAACATTAATTTTTATATCAGGATATCAGTTTGCCACTTTAACTTTTACCATACATGAAAAATTATCAAAAATATATTGATGGGTCTATACTAATTGTGACTATTTCTATTTACATTAAGCAAATTGTTTATCAAGTTCTTTATATACAAATTACCATTCATCCTACGTGAAATTCATTAAAAAGTTTAAAACTACAGAAATGTCATTAGAAACAATGCATTTCAAAATGTAACTGCTTTCCATCAATGAAGGACATTTTAAAATAATTTAACTGAAAAAAGTATTGAACTCCCCACCAATTTCAGCTGCAACAGTATTCTTCCTGAATGTTTTCTGTGATTTAAGGGGAAAAAGAAACTGGGTAAAGTTTGATTTCAAGGAATTAAATGATAAAAAAATTGATGAGTGTTTATTGATCTTCAAGAAAGTTACAATCTAAATTAGGTTGGCACTAAGAAAACAGCAATATTTAAAATGTTTTATTATTGCTGTCCATATATATATATTATTACTGAAGTATAACTGACATACAATATATTAGTTTCCAGTGCACATCAATCACATTGATTCAATAATTATATACGTTACTCAATTATATACTTACTGTAAGTATAGTTAGCAATAATTTTTAAAAAAGCACACAGTTTAAGATAACTGAAGAAACAAACGTCTTTAAAAACTGGCAAATGCACTGTATAGATATTTTTCATGTAAATTTAAATGATAACATAATATGCCACATCCAATTCAACTGAATATAGCCATGGCTTTTTGGATAACTCTAAAAAAGGTCCAGTTTTTTTAAAAAATTAAACTATTCCCTGAAAGAATCTAGATTTCAGAAGTATCACAATACATAAAAGAAACTTATAACATTTAAGAGGCAAAGATGCGGAGAAAAGTTCATAAAGGGATTATATTAATACTACTACAATAAAAAGTCACTTTGGTTGTTTTAGACTCATGGTCACATAGTAAGAAAATGAAAAAAATGTCTTTTTCTGAGAAAAAAACTTGAGCACAACATCATAAGTTTTTCAAATTTAAAAATCATCAATTAAGATGATTACTTTCAAAACTGAGTGAAGCACTCTGTCCAGTACAGATGCACTTCTCTTGTCTAATAATTAAATGGTTTTGTAACAATTACTGAAAAGTTAATGCCTCAGTTTCTCTAGTTTGAAAAAAGAGATTAGTTCTATTTTGGAAACTGTCTTAATTTATGTTGATTACACACTCCACTAAAGCAAGAAATAAGGCTTTAAAATATTTACCTAATTAACACTCTGTCGCTGGACCTTAGGACCAATACTCTGTGTATCCTCTTCCTGACTAGGACGTTTCCCACCACTGAGACCAGTGCCCATGGAGCTTCTTCCTACATATTTTTAAAAAATGTATGTTTACGATAGGAAAGGTAAAAAGAACAGTATGCTCAAATGCTTCATTCTTACCTTGCTTTAGTAAGTGAGTTTGCTGACTGTCTCCATGAGTATAATGTAAAATACCACTCCCCTGAGAGCAACCTGTTAGTATTTAAAACACAGTAAAATTATTTAAATTCTAAGTTGTATGTATTAAGACTACAAATCCAATTTTTAGTAACTGTATTAGGGCATTTATGCTTTTTCAGACTAAACCCCAATCCTTCATATGAACCAAAAATCATATGCTCAAATCAGGAAAACTTAAACTTAGGGTCATAGAAATGTTGACTTTTGGCTCAAAGGCAAAATCACTAATAATCATTTTCTAAAAAACATTTATTTACTGCATGACAACAAGACACTTGATCATAGAAGGAAAATATAGGGCAACAGTGAGATATATATCCTTCTTTCACCTCTTGTGCCTCTATTCCACATTCTCCCCTCAGAGCCTGTCCAAAACATATGCCCTTGGAGATAAGTGAATAAGGGCCTGCCAGATGAGAATTTAACAATTCAAATCACACAAGAATTCAGAAACAACATGGCAGTTACCTAGCAATTGTATCAACCCTTCTAAAAAGAACCAGTGTCACAGGAGAATGGGTTGGCCCAGGAAATAGGTTCTAGAGAAACATTTTTGTCAGTGTGTCTAGATAATGGACAAATATGAACATTCTAGCCCCTACAGAGAGGTTACCTTGGTCTGAGCAAGATAATCTACTATTTTTTATTATAGTTTCATGCTCATCAACTTCCTCTGGATAAAGAATTCAGCTTTTCAAAGTACTCAAAATTGGGAAAGTGGATCAGGGATGAAGCCTTCTATCATTGGAAAGGGATACCTCCACCATAAATAATGAACTAGTGTTCCTTGATATTTTAAGTCACATGATTTTTATTTTTTCGTTTAAATTTTAGTTAATATACAGTGCAATATTGGTTTCAGGAGGAGAATTCAGTGACTCATCACTTACATACAACAGCCAGTGCTCATCACAACAAGCGCCCTGATTTTTAAACTTCTAGTGTGCCCTTCACAGAATGGTCACCTCTCATTAAATTAAAAACCCTCAGTTCTTGGGACTTGTAAGGCTGTTAAGGCTGAAGGTCAGACTCTGGACTATGGCAAATTTACCACTGAATGGTGCTACCCCTGGTTTTACCATTGGCAGGGCTTCCCCTAATAGTGATACTTGTCGCCTTGCATTATTGTACAAGATTTATTTTAAAAAAAAATTTTTTTAATGTTTATTCTCGAGACAGAGACAGAGACAGAGTGTGAGTGGGGGAGGGACAGAGAGAGAGGGAGACACAGAACCCAAAGCAGGCTCCAGGCTCTGAGCTGTCAGTATCAGAGCCTGATGCAGGGCTTGAACTCACAAACTGTGAGGTCATGACCTGAGCTGAAGTTGGACACTTAACTGACTGAGCCACCCAGGCGCCCCAGTACAAGATTTATTTAAAACTTCACATAACAACATGAATGGACTTAATTCCACTGAATTATACATTTAAAGTGGTTAAGTGCTAACCATTTATATGTGTGTGTATATATATACATATATATCATATATTTTACAATCAAGAAAACTTCACTTGATCTTAGCCAAAAGGCCGAGAAGCGATAGAATCAAGAAAGCTTCAACAAATAACTTTCAACTATCATATTTATTCATACTTTATACATTTGTTGCATGCTTGTTTATGCTAAAGGCTATAACAGGTACGAGGGATACAAATATTACTAAGACATGAGGTCTTGTCTTCAAAGCATTTACAGTCAAGTAGATGACAGATACATAAAATCACTAAGTACAAATAAGTGTTACTAGGTTCTAGGAGGGAAGTTTTTATAGCACACAGTGGGGACACTGAAGAAGGAAAAGTCAATTTTACTGGAAGATTCACAGAGGTAGGCTAAATCACAGACTAGTCACCTCATTTTCTCAAGTTAATCAAATTCATTCTTCTTCCAGTTCTAAGATAAATGAGAATAATCTCATAAACGAAATACAGAGTGAAACCAGCCAGGCCAAAAATAAAAAAAAAAGATTACAAACTATAGGATTCTATAAAGTGCAAAAATGGGCAAAAATTATAGTATTAGAAATTGGGAGAGTGGCTACTTTTGAAGAGGAGGTGGTAAATTAATAAGTTCAATAAATACATTCAGAATTTCCTTAAGATGGCATTTTATTTCTTTAGAGAGCTAAATGATAAAAGCAGGCACTTAGACTCTTCCTGAGTCCCTAAATTGATGAATATCTCAACTGCCTATAACTTCCCCATAAAAAATGCAGTAAGTTATATTGTCACAAGAATAACAGTACAAGAGACAATGAGTAGAGCAAAGAGCTTTGCTGAATCAACTGGCTTATGACTAGCATAGCTGCTTATAAAAATCAGAAATTCCCACATTAACTGTATCTTCAGGGACATTACAGTGGTTAAATTTCGAATGCCAAGATTATATAAGATGACAAATCTTAGAATGAAAATAGCTTTAAACAAACTCCCATATTTCTTATTTCTAAAAATCCCATGTTTTCTGAGAGCAAAAAGTTTGTATGATCACAGTCCTCTTATGTTACACTATCAATAGCACCAAAAGGATTTTTCACTCATAAAATTCGAACTTAAAGACACTGTGGGGGGAAAAATCGCATAGAAAATGTATTCAAAGGAAACATACCAAAAATTTAATAATGACTGTCTCTAGTAGATGGAATTGTGGGTGATTTTTATTTGCTGTTTTCTATTTTTCTGAATTTCCCAAGTTCTCTATAGTGAATAGTTTTTTTAAGCAGTTTTGAGGTATAATCTACATACCATAAAATTCACCTGTTTTAAGTGTACAATTTAATAATTTTTAGTAAATTTACAGAGTTGTGTAATCATCAGCACAATCTAATCCAGTTTTAGAACATTTTCATGCCCATTTGCGTTCATTCTCATTCCTACCCCTAAACCTAAGATAACCATTAACTTAGTTTCTTTTAAAGGCATGCCTTTTCTGGACAGTTCATATAAATGGAATTGGGCAGTATGTGGTCTTTTGTGTCTGGATTCTTTAACTTAACATAGTATTTTTGAGGTTTATCCATAATGTAGCATGTACCAGCATTTTATTCCTTCTTATGAATTAATATTCCATTGCATGGATGTACATTTTGACTTATTATAAATGAAGCTATCGAAAACAGTCTTATGATTCCGTAAGTCTTCGTGTAGACATGTTTTCATTTCTTTTGGACAGACACTTAGGAATGGAGTTTCTGGGTTGTAAGTTAAATTTATGTTTAGCTTTTCCAAAGTGGCTATAACATTTTACAGCCCATCTCTCAACAACGTTTGAGGGTTCCAGTCTCTACACATCCTTTACAGCACTTGTTACTGTCACTTCTTAGGCACTCTATTTTTTAATGTTTATTTTTAAAAAAAAATTTTTAAGTTTATTTATTTACTTTGAGAGAGACAGAGACAGCACAAGTCGGGGAGGAACAGAGAGAGGGAGACAGAGAATCCCAAGCAGGCTCTGCACTGTCAGCTTGGAAACCAATGTGGGGCCTGAACCCACAAAACCTCAAAGATCATGACCTGAGCTGAAACCAAGAGTTGGACGCTTACCGACTGAGACACCCAGGCGCCCCAAATGTTTATTTATTTTTGAGAGAGAGACAGACAGAGTGTGAGTGGGGGAGGGGCAAAGACAGAGGGAGACACAGAAACCAAAGCAGGCTTTAGGCTCTGAGCTGTCAGCATAGAGCGCGATGTGGGGCTCGAACTCACAAGCTGTGAGATAATGACCTGAGCTGAAGTCAGATGCTTAACTGACTGAGTCACCCAGGTGCCCCTGAATGGGTATTCTTAGTGGAAAAAAATTAAGTTAAAAATTAATAGGGTGGCTGGGTGGTTCAGTTGGTTAA